GATATCATGCAACGAATATAAAGACTGATAGAATGATGTGTGGTCAATGAAAACGATATAAAAAAAAAGAAAAAATCGCACAATTTATTACTCATATCCGAATCATCATTGAATTCTTATTTCGTTTCACGACATCATTCATATTTATGATTATTTCTTCAACACTTTGAGTGCATTTTGAGAATCAAAGAAAACGCTATGCAATATGCATAACAAGTAGGTAGATAACTGGCGAATTTCATTAAACCGGCAATTTCAGATACTATTCATGAACTAAGTAAAATTATCTTACAAGACTGTTCCAATTATCAAACATAAAATTTCAAGTCTTAATTGATATAGCACTTCATGACTTTAGTAATCTTTATGAGCTCGCAAATATGTATATGGACATATTTCATAAAATATAGTAAATACATAAAAGTAAAACAGAATGAAAGTTTGCAACTTATGCATGTCTCAATAAAATATGGCTGATTCATGACGATTATTCAATTCAAAAAGGAATAATGAGTAGTGTTGGGAATTGTCAATTCCAATTTTCTTTTAATATCTGTAATCATTAATCATACAAAATTAACGGTAGATATACACGAGTTAAATAAAAATTATATGCGGCTGTTTGAATTCTTCTCACATACAAAAAAAAATTGTTAGTAAATTTAAAATTTTTAATTATTACACTCCCCTCCCCGATGGCTACATAAAAAACACAGAGATATATTGTACTTCCGAATTATGAATAAGTGGTTTAAAATCCAAAACTTTATCATCATTAGTGATTAAAAATCAAGAGTTGTGTTAACAGTGAGCTTTAATTATTCATCAGAAATAGGAGGAAATAAAGAATCATTTGAATTTGGAATCCGTTTGTTTGTTGATCATAACAATCGAGGATAGTAGAAAATGTTCCCATATAAATTGCTGAATGCAAAAATGTTTCCATACATATGTAGATTTCCACTATCCTTTAACAAACCTGATTGGACATGTTGGAAAACAAAACAAAAATAAAAATTGAAATGATTGTAATGAGAAGAAAGGAAGCAACAGGATTAAAAGATGAAAACTTTAAACGGCTGTGTGTAGTGTCAAGAGCGATTTCATAATATTTGTCAGCAAATCATTGAGTAAGAAATAGATTCAAATAATTTGCCTAATTTATTCTATTCTAGATAAATTAACATCTCCAGCTAAAGCTACAGCATCAATTGAGTATCAGTTGTTCCTTTACAGATTTTAGTCTGCTTTACTTTCGTTTTTGTTTTCGGTTTGCTTGTTCACATTTCGTAATTCGTTTCACTTCATAAGATTGAATAAAGTTTCCGGCGCTAAAATAATCTTGTTATCATAACTGGTAGCTTGCTGAAAATATATTTGTAGAATATGAAATTGGAATTAGAAAATGTGTAACGACTTGTTTTTATGACCCAAGATTGAAAAAAAAGAAGTGAACATTCACTCCCATCTCGCTTCTCATGTTTTTCAAGCGTTTCAAATTATCCACAAGTCAAGTTTTCAAAATCAAAATACTTTGACGTAAGGAGCAATAGAAAAATGAAGAAACATAGATATCTACTTATGATCTGTAAATGTCATTCAATTGCAAATGCGAGGGCGACAGCAACGAATAAAAGTAACTTCGACTAGATAATCAAGATTTGAAGTGAATTGTGAATTTGCAGGATAATGACTATTGAAATACATTAAAAATATTTGTTTTTATTTATTCAGTCAGATTAAATCACACTTCAAAGTGCCAACGAACTTTTCATATGTAGATTCAGCTAATTAGGTACATATTTATATATGTATTAAACACATTGGAAACAACTGAAAATGAACGATAGAATGATAATTTTCTTTTATTACTTAATAAAATATTCTCATGTGATTGTACATATAGCTTTGCTTTAATTTCCTATCGTAGACATTTGTTTTTACCATCATACATAAAATAAAATTGTAATGCATAAGTAGAAAGCTTGTGTAGCTTAACTAAAGACTGCATAGGTTTTCTTCACGACAAAGTCCATTGATTGAATGAGATACATAATGATTTAGGAATGTTTAAGAATGTGTATTCAAAACCTTGAGGCGATAGCTACGCGACAAGCTATAATCTCATTCAACAACAGCAAAGAATTGTTAGTTGCTCTTTTAAAGATTTTATCAAACGATTATCACTTCAAAACTACAACAACACAATTGTGTTGAAAAGAAAGACATTAACAAAAGAAAGGAAAACTTAATTTATTGATTATTAGAACAGTGGCAGCGGCTTTCAAATAATAAAAAGTTTAAGCTTGTTAGTATGTATGTAGAAGAATATAAAAAAAACAACACATCGAGCGATCTATAACACTGTCACCAAGAATGATAATTAAATCGTTAACTATTTTACGAGCAGAAGCATTCTTTTAACTTTTTTTTACTTTGCTTTTCTTTACATTTTATTGAGGCTTGTTTGTGAATAATTTATAAGAAATTTATCATTAAACGCATTTTATGATGCATATATTTTTAGTAACTGTATTGATTTATAGAGCATTCTTCATTATCTTTTTGAATTATTCTGATACATTTCAGAGGAAAAATTCTAAGATCTACAGATGTCAGAGTCGAAATATAGTAAATAATTTGATGATATGTATTGAAGAAGAGAACTGAATATGTGCCAAAATGTATGAGCATTTGACCTTGAATTATCTAGAAACTTTACGAAAACGAAGCGACTAAAGTGAGTTTATGAGAATATAAAGGGGCTGGCGATAATAATGAAGAACGATCTGCTTTGGTTTGCAAGTAGAAAGAGAATGAAGCAATAAAAAATATTTGGCGGAAGTGACAAAAATATTTTAAAAACTGCGTCATTCTGCGAAACATTAAGAATACTTAGAAAAGAAAAATCATAAAAATTTCTAATTCTTCTTTAATCATAATTTCATCTCTTAATACACAGCCAAAGATTCTTAATTTTTTCAATCTTTGTAGTTTTTCGTGTTTACTCATTTTTAAAGTTGTCTGCATAATATTTTCAGAATATTATTTTGTTTATATTTTATTTATTTTATTTGCATCATTTATATTGAAATTATACACTATAATAAATATGTTATAAAATATGTTTGTGTTTTACATTCAACGAGTGTCTCAATTAAGAAGAAAATGAAAGCGGAAAGTCACATCAGCAAGTTGCACATTATCAACCTTTTTATAAATTATAATTTAATAAGCATGAGTACTTAACAGCAGTTTAATTGCCTGAAGCAGTAGACTTGTCACAAACTGCTTGTGAGTTATATTTTTCAAGCTTCTATTATATAATAAATAATATTTAAAATATGCAACAAATAATAACAATAAACATATAAGTTTAGCTTCTTTAAGAAGTATATTAGAGCATAACAAACTCATGCTTGTGGTCATGGTAAGATACATAACACATAAAATCGATCATTTTTGTTTACATCTGTATTATCATCATTTTTTTTGTATGAACAAGCTCGTATCAATCTTTCAAGAAGGTGATAGATACGAAAACATATTTATTCGTTTCAGTGTCAATGGAAAAAAAGAAAGCCATCTATTGCTTGAAGTAAACAAAAATGGTATTGTGATAAAATTCACTAAGGTGAGGTGTATATCCCTTAAGAAAGAAATAACTCATCAGTGATGAGTGTTTCTGCCAGTTTCACATCAATTCAAACGAAAAAGGTAAGGAATAGCTTTGAAGCATACAATAATGTCAAGGTTTCAAAAGCGAAGTGTTTGTTGATGAAATGTTTTCTTTTTAAAAAAAAAGGTTTTAAATTAATTAAACAATAAGGAAACCCGAAAATGATGCAACTCCTACGCACATAACCCTCAAGCAACAGCTTACGAAAGAAAAATACAAAATTACGAAAGTGCGTTTCATTAAAAAGATCAATAGGTGGGCTGACGTTGCAGTGTTCAAGAAAAAAATCATCCATTGTCTATCGCAATCTGTATAAAAACTTTCCTACAGCAACTAATTCAATCAAAGTCACTTTACTGCCGATTATCGTTTGGAGCATATGGCCACAAGTTTCTCATTAATAACCACTGTTTTTCTCTTTTCGGTTTTGAATAAAGGAAAAAGGTAAAAAAAAGATATCTGAAGGGAGTTATATTGGTGATGAAACGATATTTCAAGATTGAATGCAACTCATATCGAATTCATCGATATTTTAACGCTGAGTTTAGTCAGAAAAGTAAAACTTTCTCTTTTCTCTCGTCACTTTAAAATTAACTATTTTTATATTCCAGTCAATGTGGGTGTACATTGTAAGTACTTAGCTTTAGGAAAGCAAGGAAAGAATTAAGGTGACATCAGAAATTTCATACGGTTTTACCTAATCATCATTTCCTACGACCGATAGACAGATGCCGAAAACGAGAGGAAGAATTAATACTCCTAAGAAAAGTATGAGATGAAAGATATTTTTGATATCGAAAAACTTTTGTCCTTCATCTAACTTGATGCTATACCATTATTGTTGTAAAAGGAAAATTGGTAATTGTTTCCTTTTTTAAAACCAAATATTTTTCATTTCGATCAAACTTTTCTAAGCTTGTACTTGTTTGTGCTTTTTATTTTAAGAATATTTAATTAAAAATTTCTCTTGCTGGTGGCAAATATGAAAATTACGCGAACAGATTTTCTCTTCATTGCTCACACAATTCTTTGTTGAATGTTACATTATTTCATCTTCAGTGGTCTCTAGAGAATGAGCAGAAAAAGTAAAAAAAATTGATACACTCATGTTACTCTGAAGACTCAAAGTCTTCGAAAACAGATTTGATACGAAAATACCTATCTGAAAATAAAATTGAGTTTTTTTATTATTTTGAGAATTCTCTGTGTTCGTAGAATCTAAATAAAAGAGTTTTATTATATGATATATAGCTTGACATGTTCTAAAATAAATAAGCTTATTTAAGTTAGTGAAGGAAGAAAGTATGGATGATAGAAAGTGATGAAATTATAATGAAAAAAGGTTTTCAGAAATCCTAATTTTCTTAAATTTTGTTGCTCTAAATAAAAAAAGATAAGAGCAAGAAGAAATATCGCGAATAAAAGGAATTAAAAAAATAAGACTCGAGGTTTTTGTGGCAGTAAAACTCCAAAGGTTTTTGTTCATTAAAAATGTGTCGATGAAAAGTATTTAAAATTTTTTTTTTTTGTAAAACGAAGAGATTCTAAGTAAAATATGATTATTTAAAGGTTTAGCGTTCAGCGAATTGTAGATAAAACGGCAAGCAGTTAAAAAAGGAAAAACATCAAGAAACCTGCTTGGAAATATGTTTGAGAAGTAACGTAATATTTCAATCAAAAATATTTTTTTAGAAATTGTTAGATCAGAAGATCGCATGATAAATAAAAATTGAGGATTTGGAAAAGAAACCGGTTTAAGTTTAAGCCAATTATTCTGTTGGTAATGAAAGGATTAAAAATCGCTGTGATGTTGAGATGGAATGCTTAAATTTAAAACTTTTAATGTTTCTCAATATCTCTATGTCTCTATATTACTAATCGTGTTACTCGAACAATAGTTTTTTTATTCCCAATTTTTGATCTTGAGTTTGAAGAACAAAACATGCATTATACACCGCCGAATTTCTATTAACATTGGTTTTGCATTCGTAATTATTCGTAGAATATCATTTCGTGTCCACTATAAGGCAAATGTTGTCAAAAAACTTTTCAAGGACAGCAGCAAGCAAAAAAGGGGATTGTGTATAACATGCAAAGAATTGGTTCAATCAAAACGGTTTTTTCAAGGAAGATCTTTTGGCCCCACCGACCACTAATTGATCTGAATAACAAATACATAATTCAAAAAGAAGACATGCAATACAAAGATATTTGATTTAATTTTCACTCTATTTCGACTACACATGACAATTAAAAATTAGATTGGATTCATGAGTCTGCAAATAGATCGAAAATACAAAAATATTTTATATTGACTTAATCAAAACATTGAAAATAATCATTTTTAGCATCCTTCAAAATATTTAGAAAAAATCTTTATTTAATGTAACGTATTCATCTCATTTGCTTTCAACATTGTTGCCTTCATTGAAGTTCTTAAAAGATTAAAATCATATTGTGATGACAACTTGGCAACATAAATATATAACGTATGGTTTACTTTGACACCAACTGCGAGATTTAAAGTGTTGATTATTTATGCAATTTTGTAGGATTTTTGATTTGCTTTAAATATATTTTTGTGTTTAGAGAAATTAATGTAGCATAGAAATCTTATGTTGGAAAGATAACTTTCTTAATGTCTTTCATTCTATGATGAAGAATACCAAACACATGTTGGCTTCGATTCATTTTATTTTAAACAAAAATGTTTATCCCTTAATTTGTAACCAATACTTCGACAAAATGAAATATCATTCTACCGAAATCTCTTCTGCGTTTCCTATGTTCAGCGATCCCATAGCAAATCATTAGGTCAAAAAAATACAATGAAAAAGCTCTGAAGAAGGTTCACACAAACACTCTCATATTATCTACTCATAAAAAATATCTAAAGAAACAGAATAAGAGAAAGAAGAAACTCTGCAAGGCCAAGATATTAGTTTTTTAGTGTATTTGATAGATTTTTTTGCAAACAAAAATAAATCACACACTTAAATGCAAACAATGATGTCGATTGAATTTGTTTAGAAAAATTATATATTTTGCTTCTCCGTTTTCTTCCAATCGAGGCTCGTGTGAGTGCATGGATTCCAATGTAGATAAAGTATAAGTGTACATTCACTCAGAATGGTTTATTATTTCCAAATCATCCACAAAACTTTGCCTGAGCGTCAACATAAGAAATTATTTTTATGCCTATTTAAAATATATTTTATTCTTCGTTACCCTTACACATTTAGAATATTGTGTTTGTACATGTGTTTATCGTCCAATGTTATGAAATAGAAAAAGAATATTGATGCAAAAAAATCACACAAACTGCGCACTATTTTCTCATTTATTTTGTTAAAAAAAGATCAACTCTATATTTATTGTTTAAAATTTTATTCTGGAGCATATTTGGTTTCCATTTACTTCTTAAGCTAAAAAATAATTAATTTCACTTTCATTTCCAGCGAAAAAAAGACACTGATAAGCCGTGAGGAATAAGCCGAATAATTTGAGATGCTGATTCTCACATTTTTTGAATTTGAGTTTCATTACAATGAGTGTCCCTCTTCTTATTCATCTGTGCTATGAAAACAATTCGGGATTTCTATTCAACATGTAACATGTTTTTACACACGCTCACAAACAAATATCAACTGCTTCCTATAATATTCAGTAGATATTTGGTGATGAAATACTTCATGAAAGATTTAAGACGATTGCGATTTTTTGCTTAAGCAATTCCTTCGAAAATAAATATTGATTTTGTTATTTTTCATTACATCATCTTCAAGGCGAAAGTGTCGAAGAAGTGCAAGCAAGGAAATCGCAAGATGTTTTATTTTGAAATTTGAGAACCTCCCCTTATGTGCGATAAAATTGAATCTTTTTCTTGCGTTTGCTGTAAACGTTCTTCATGCAAATGATGGAGTGAAAAAAGAAGTTGTAGAGGCAATAAAATAAAAATCATAACAATTTCAATATTGTTGGAGTCACACAGTTTTATCCCAATTAGCTCATACGTTCTTCTCAGAACGGTTACCGGGAAACTTTTTGTTCTCTTCAATATCTAGTTTTGCTTTTATTTCAATTTTCGGTTTTGGCCCGCTTTGGCGAAAAATTCTTTTTTTTTCTTCTTTCCGAGAAAGAATATTTTTCGTATTTCAAGGTCAGTGTTGTTGAACTCAACCTTTTTCGTTTTTTCCGCCTAATATTTTTATATACACACTGTATAATGTGTTTCTTTTTAAAATATTAGAGCAGCTAACGATGGTGATTTTCAAACTTTCTTCCGCAAAAATATTCCATACTTTGTTAATTTTTGCCCATTACTCACTACCGAGAAGCAAGGATGATTGTTAACGTTTTCACATCTTCTTATTCGCTTTTTATTCAGAAATTGTGGTTATATGAGGTATGTAAAAGAATTGTTTACAAATTCTGCAAATGGTGTCAGTTTCATTAAGACCGAATAACAACAGGGTGAAAATCAGTCAAGAATTTTATATCAGATTTAAATTTTAATTTTATAAAGAGTTATTTATTTTCAATTTTTTTTTCTATTTTCTCTACGAAATCTTATAAGTTCATTGTCTTGATGTCGTAAAATTTTGCTTGTAATTAACGCTTGTGAATGTGAATGACTGATAACAATTATCCAAAAGCAAACATAAAAAAATTCTTCAATGAATCAAGTTACAAAAGTTTGTCTCTTATTTATTTACGTGATATTATTTGCTCACCTGATAAAACAGATACATGCAGTATAAGTAATCCTAAAGTAAACAGAATCCTAAACCAAATAGCCATTGATACGATTTCCTCATTTCTTAGTTTTCAAAATACATTTATTAGCACATTTGTTTATATACACACAAATTTGTTTTAACTCTTTAAATTATTTATTAACTTTAATTCATTTATGTGTTTTCCTTCTTCCTTTGTTTTTATTTTATTTTATTTTTGTGATACAATATGAAGTCTGAATTTTTATTGATTTGGAGAACTTTACTACAATTTTTTCCGCAATGAGGAAATAGAAGTAATTGAATGAATTCTCTTTTGAGAAAATACCAAATATCTGCTTTCCGCGTTTTACTTGCACAAAGTATGATTTGGTACTGAGTTTATGGTCATTTTTTACACACTTTGTAAGACTTTATACTAAATTATAGCACTAATGTATTTAAACACAATAATTTTCATTTCTTCACTTCAAAAGTTTGTTATGCTTCAAGCACCGGCCGTAAACAACTAAGAAAAACTTGAGAGAAAACACTCGAATTGGATATTTTAGTACAGTTTTAGCATTCGAATATTTTGTACGAAATTCAAAAATTGGCGCGAAAAGTTGAATTTGTTTCAATTTAACAATATACCTAGGTATGTAAATCTGAGATAAAAGATTTCTTTAAAAGGTTCATTCAAAATTCTTTCTTTATTAAAACAAATAATTTGAAAATAAATGTGAAGTTGAATAAATAATCACATTTTTGATGGGTGACTCCTGAACAATTACATATGTATTTGCGATATCCTTTGAAACTGAGAAAAATTCTTGTATGTTTTAAATAATCTTTTGCAAAAACTAACTTGAGTTTTTAAAATTCATAAGTTTTTAAAACGACTTTATCATTTATTTTCATTCTATTCCCTTTAAAAAATGACAGATCAATCATGTCGATCTTCAATTTAGAAATTGATACAAACATAGGATAATCAAAATAAATGTTGCTTCTTTTTTTCTTGGATTGGAATGTCTTTCAAGAGGTAAATTGATATATTACATTGCGAATAATGTCAAAATACCTAATAAAAAACATGTTTTCTAATGTTCAAAGAACTTGTTGCACAAGGAGTATAAAAGCTAAAGTAATTAAACATCTTTTTAATGCAAGATGAATTAAAAATAGTTTGATTAGAATTGAATAGTAAAAAAAAAATCATATCTTAAGCTTTTCCGATTGAATTTCTGAATTTTTTTATGAAACATTAGTGCTATTTTAATTTATGTATCATATCAATCGCAAGCCAAATATATAAAGAACAAATAAAAATAATCTTAACTTACTTATTTATAATTAATTCACAAATGACCATCTGCTCAATGATAATAAATAGAAAATATCAAAAATATATCAAATTTTCCTATATTTATAAAATGTTCAAGAAACCGAAACTACCTACATGAGGAATTTTGATATTTTAGAATGATTGATTCTTGTCTTCGTTTAGACGTGTACCAAAGACATCATAAGGTTTGTAGATTTCACTTGTGAACCTTGACTTGAACCTTAATTTGCTTTTGCTATAAAATGTGTTCATAATAATAATTATTCATTTGTACTTTCTGCAACACATCAGATTCATGTTTCAAGTTTTAAGCATTTTAAATCTCTGATCGGTTAGTAAATCTGAACAATTTGTTTGGTACTAATACAGCAAATTAATATCAATGAACAGATAGGAGTCAAAGTGAAATATTGTTATGAATCGGATATAAACGTTTAACGTTAGTCACGTGTATGAAAAATTGTTAAACCTAAGTGAAGACACAAACCATGATAAAAAAGTTTCAATTTGTTGAAATTAGAGAGGTTTGAAATAAAGTAGTTTCCTTGCTAATCTACACTGGAAGTAAGTCAGGCAATTGGAAAATTGTATTTTTCTCGGAAAATCTGAAAGTGAAAATTCATTTTCTGTGAGTTTGCTGCATTTTGAGGAAGTGAATAAAAAATTGGTCTTGGCAGAAGGTTTTGTGTTGTTTGGAAAAGCCTAAAAATATTGAAGTGTAATTTGCAGACTATATAGGAAAATAATATTGTGAAAAATAAGATCCCGCCCCTATAACATAGATGATATCCTTTCAAGCATTCATTGTGTAAAAGTGTCAGCTGTTATATTGATTGTGCCACTTATGCAGTTTCGAAAAAGTGAATCATACGTTAATTATTGGGTAGTGGCTAAGTATTCATGTGTATAAATATCAGATAACTACAAAAAAGTTATAAAAAAGGAACCACTTTCCAGTGTGAGAGCTTCAGAAAAAAGATTTTTGGAAGGTTCCAATAAGCTCACAAGGATATTCATAAAAATCTCGCACTGTGCAGGCGGTGAGTTAAATTCCAATCCAGTGTTAGAAAAACATCCGTCGGGACACGGTCTCGCTACTGATTTCAATTGGGGTTATTCCCAATTTTATAAATGGATTAATAAAATAAATCTAGTCTGGAAACACAGAGAAAAAAAAAAGAATTTAAGGAAGACTTTTGGCTCACGACAATATTTTTTTTAACAATTTTTTTATTTTATTTTATTTTTTTGCATTATTAGAAAGAAATATTGGAAAAGTGTAACAGAAAATAGAAATCTAACTTCAGTGTGAAAAACATTTAAGTGAAAAAAGATTCTAATCCAAAAAGTGATAACGTCATTAATTGTGAAAGTAATACCGAGGAGATGGCAGATGAAGAAGTTCTATTTGATGATGTTTACGAGCTCTGCGAGATTATTGGCAAGTGAGTACTGTTTAACATGTGAAGATGTTATTAAACTCCATTAATTAAAAGTGGTGTGTACAGTACGCGTGTAATAATCACTTTAAGAAATTAATCGTCTGGAGGTTTTGCGCTACATAGATAAATGGTTTTAGAAAAAAGAAAAATATGTACACATTTAATTATGTACTGTGAAGAATAAAAAAAACTTCAAACGCTACTATGTTCTACGATTAGTTGCCAAATTAAGGAACTTAAAATTTTGGCAGATATGTGTAGACTCATTTATGGTTTCCTTTCATGGTCCTGGAATTCATGATTTTCTTTATAAACAGATCTTGAAAAAGAAAGAAGAATAGAAACCTGTGAAAACACCCTATAATTGAGTGAAGATTGTTTGTTTGTACAACACTCTAAAGAAACACATTGTAGTGTTGTTGATTTGCAAAAATAAGAAAATGAAGACAATTCTTTTATACAAAAGTCAAAAATACATTTTCAACATGTATGAACAACATTAAACTTTAAATTATTCTTATACTTTTATCATTGTTTACTCTCATGATTTTTATTTGTTTTCTGATTTTTCATCAATTTCTTTTCTCTGCAATAATAGGTACTTTGATAAAATGAAATCTTTTTAAGAGTTTTCTTTTTACTTTTGTGAAAATATAAAGATTTTGAAGCTTTTTGATTATAATTTATAATTAAATTTATTTTTTATTAGAAATGAAAATATCAAACATAGCCAGCTGCTAACTACCGTAATCAATCAAGAAGATAAGTAATCAAACATGTAAAGTAGTTTATGAAATGAGGAAATATACTAAATAACTAGGTCTAAAAGGATTGATAGTTCGTTTGAAAATCGTAAAAAGTATAATCAAAAGTTTATTAAAATCGTTTTAAATTAATGTCTAAAAATGTTCAATCAATTATTTGTTATGAATTATAAAGAAAATAAATAGGCATACATGTATGTGTATATGACTATTATAGTAAAAAAAATATACCGACAAGTTCAAAACATTAAAACAAAATACCGATTGATACTCAAGGTCATTTTTAAATATATGTTCTCAGTATAAAAAAATTAATTTAATATTGTGTGTTTACATTTTCGTAATAAGGCCTATTTGAAATAAAAATATCTTGTTTTGTGTTATAAAAATTAAGTATAATCAAAATTTCTTTTTAACATCTACAAACATTACTCTTCACATTTAATATGCTTCAACTTCTACTCTTTCGACAACATCAACAACTTCAACGAATTAGAAAAAGTTTGTAAAGCTTTACATTCAATATACATACAATCGAGATTATGCTCTTTCGCTCACTTGAAATACTGAAAGTTTGTAATGCTCTTTCATTCATTGAAGTAACCTACAATAGCAATTTTATAATTAAGGGGACATTTCTGTATGCACGTCACTGTTAGTATAATAGTAAACAAATTTTCATTTTTCATACCGATGAAATAATTTCATACAACTACATTCAAATGAAACTGTGTACTACATATTGTGAATGGTTTTCCAAAACAAGAAGTCTAAGGGTAAACAAAGAAAATGGCGAGTAGAAATTGAGAAGACAAAAGGAAAATTGGAAAGAAGAGTAATGAAGAAGAAAAGTTTTTCACTTTTGTGCTTCGAAAGCATCGTCCCAATTGTGTGTAAGATGAGGAACAAGAGAATAAAAGGCTTCAGTGGAAATGAAAAAGTAGTAAGCATAAAGTAAAGCTATTGTGATAGAATAGAGTAGGGTAAAAAGAGAAAAGTTACGATAAACAATCTGTCATGCGTCTTTATTCTCCTTAAAACTTTTATTTACCGGGTATTTCCGTTTTGATTCTTTTTTTTCTATAGACATTTTCTTTTTAACCTTGTTAACGGTCTTCTTGTTCAACTTACCCTTCATCATCTGAAATAACTTCTCGAGCGTCTTTAAATTTTTACTTTTTTTCAGGTGAAATATTTTCATTACTTTATCAATGAAACAAACGATTTATGAATTTATATCGTGATTGCTTTATTTTTGTATAGTTTTATAAGTAGATACATGAAGATGAATGAAAAGCATTTCAATTGAATTAAAATATAAATCTTTTAAAATTTACTCAGAACCTCTGATAAACCACGTACGCTTGTGATTTATTGTTTTTATCAGTGAGATTTCCTTCCTATTGTCTACTTATGTCATAATTTTATATTTTTAGTCTTGATTAAATGAAGAATTTTCAAAGTCATGGTCAATCAAGCTGGAAAACATGACAAATATACAAACAATATCTGACAAACAACAAAACTCATTTTAAATGCTTAGTTGCCAGCTCAGTGAACCGGAATGTTTCATTTTATTTTACTTTCATTCATGAGAAATATTTTTAAATGAAATGGAAAGGGAATTTCACAAAGAATTGAAGACATATTATTGATGACACATTGTTCAAACGATTCTTTAATAATTCATTTACATCTAGACATCCACGTTATGTTTTTGATAACGAATTAAGAACTCGACATAATTTTCTTCATTGATTCTCTAATCATGTTTATTGAATGAACAAATTGCAATCATTTCAAGAATGTCGATATATTTTGTTGACTAGATAATTGAAGATGTATGTAAGAATAATTTAACCTAGTTATATGAAAGGTGTTTACGCAGTTTTTTTACTTTTTGCTCTGCCCACAACAGAAATTTGTAATAGAAAAATTAATTATCTAACCGTCACTTCGCACTTTATTTACCTTTCCTGTGAACTAAAGAAAGTCATTGAAATGAAATTACCACGTCTCTGTGAAAAGAATACTTATAAAGTAAAAACGAGTGAATAAAAATAGACTTGACAAGAAAATTATTCAGAATTTTCATTCATCATATTTGTAAGTCTAATAATTCATGTTGCAACTTTAGTTTATTAAAATCTTTTATTACTCTATTATCCCCATTTTTAATTTTTAACATCCTTGATTATAGGCTTTCAATATTTCATTTGTAGCCTTTTGTAATGTCATCATTAAAATCTATCTGCTGTTTGATATTTAAATCGTTTTAACTTCTTTCCGTGAATAAAAGAAAAACTAAAGCCATTAAACAATTTTCTCACTCAGTTTCATACTACCCAAAGCAAGTTGTTTATAATGAACAGTATGGTAAAGATATTTAGTGAAAATAAACTTTATGAGTCTCGTTTTATTTAGTACCCACTTATTTTAATGACGATTTGAACAGATTTTGTTACTATATGATTTCTTATAAATATTTGAAATTTAGTTCAAGTTGTTACTGTTTATTGCATCTCTAAATTTTTTGATTTTGAATTGTACAAATATAAAAATACGACTAGTAATTCATGTAACGGCTCTAGGAAATAAGATGAAAAGTCTGCAAAGTCGAATTGAAATTTTAAACATCCTCAGCTTTTACAATTATTTCAAATTTTTGTTGAAAAGTGGAAAATTTCTTTGATGACCTTTCATTTGATGAGTACCTTGGTTCATTAACAGCTCTCCGTATTATTTTTAGCATACTTACATACCTAATGATAAAAAGACTCGATGATTTCCGCATTAAAAACAGCGAATATCTGGCTATCTTTGAACAAATGATATGAGAGTAAATGTTGAAAGTGTTTCATGTTGCTAAGGGAAATCTATTCTTCCAATTATTTTTAATATACGCATGAGATATTTACTTCGTTTCAATGAACCAAATTGAAGAAATCATAACGAAGAAAAACCTACTCTTCGTTACTTTCCATCATTTTTGATAATCAAATATAAAAGAAGAAAAAGTATCGAAAAAAAAATTTCTTCTGTACTGTTACACGAGTTAATTTTTTCCCCACCCCAAACTCTTTACCTTACAAAAAAACTTCTATGTTTGTATGTATGTTCTTTCAACACTTTTTGTTGAGAAAAAAAAAAAACATGCCAGCGAAAAAAAAAAAACATACCAGCGAAAAAAAAAAAAA